AATTTGAATTTTCCATCTCCTAGGTGACTTGTCCTAAAGAATTCAAATACGGTCTAGTGCTATACACATCACAATGTATGCTTATGGCATACACTCGGGGAATCCCTATTCCTGGTGGCTGAGACCCACCACCATATCTCACATGTAGGGTCATGCATAATAATCTGTTATAACAAAGTTATCATTTACTAATTATAGGTTAAGCACAAATTTGAGAAATTTCTAAGTTAGATCACATCTCAAAGCAAGTGATACATCACTGTGTATGATCTAACAAAATAATTTCTAAGGATATATAACAATTATATAAATGATACACAAATTATATGTGCAACAATTAAATCAATTAATACTTTATAAATATTACATAATTTGTATTAGATGTTCAAGGGCATATTATTATTATTCTAGCAATGACAAAAGAGTTGTGTATGATACAAAACAAAATAGAGTTTCCTGATGATCAAATTGAGGAAGATTATATGAATGTAGGGGGGTTTATTAGATGGTTTCTTAGAGTAGAGAAAATTATATAAATTCTACCCTGAAGTTGGAGGGTACAATAGAATATTCCCTACAAATGCTCGAAGTTGTTTTTTTCTTTTCGAGCCGCCCTCTTCTTTCTTTATTAGATCATCTGCAGGAGTAACCTCAATTCATTCTGTTGGAATTCAAGAATCTGCGCCATCCAACTAAACTAATTGGAGTTTTCTAATTGTTTGTACCCAATCCACAATCTCCACGAGACAGAGTTGCACAAGTAGCGTGCATGGATGGGGAAGATAAAGAAAATTTTCCTACGAGAAAAGGAATAGACTATTTATAATTGCTGGGATTAGGTAGTGAAATATTGACAATGTGACATTCAAACAGCCTACAATATCTATCCAGTTTAAAACATGATGCGGATTTTTCAGTGAGCACATGTACCAAATTTGTATATTTTGCAATATTCGGTTTCAGCTTTAAGTTAAAAAAGTTTGCAACTGTGGAGTACAATACCCAAGCATAGCAGGTAATTAAAGATCATTAATAATAGCTAACCCCTTAGTTATTTACATCTGACAGATTAAACATTGTTTAGCACTAAGCACTTCGATTTTCATTAATCGACACCTAACCACATCAATCTCTAGAAAACTTTCCCAAGTTCAGTAAAAAAACCAATGCAGTTAATTAAATAAGCTCCACTCTAATGTGAGCGGTGTAAGTACAGACGCATAATTACATCTATGTTTGAGATTAACAGCTAGGAGCTGGAACTTGCGACGCTTTCAATTTGAAATAAACCGCTATTGGATTGTCCAATTATTTTAAGTTGTTTCAAAATTAACCCCTCAAATAATTGAAATTACTATTAAGTCCCCCGATTCTTATGAGGAGTTCGGAATTAATCACTCCGTTTAGGTGCAATCATAGTGAGATATAAGAAGCGGGTAATCTAATAGCAATTAGTGAATAGAGGGACTTATTTTAAGATATTAAAGATGTCAGGGTCTAATATTGAAAAAAAAAACCCCTAAAATAAAACTTGTATTTATGTGCCAGGATGAGGAAATCGAATCTCCAGAAGGACAAGATCTATAGACTGCAATCTGGAATATTTATCTGTAGCGTTTATAATACAAGGCGGGGGCCAAAAAAAAAAAAAAAAAAAAAAAAAATCAATTCCTTGGAAGGGACTGACAAAAAAAAGTACCACAAAAATGCCGGTAAACTTAGAAATTTATTGGGCTCTCAAGACGTTATGCTTTCAAATTGTTTCACATATTATTAGCCTCTCATCTCCACCCTGTTTGATGGTTACTCCTCCCAGAATTTGCCTCTTTACTAGGATTGTCCCTGTCCTGCAATACAATTAATCACATAATATGAATCAAGAGCTGATGAACACAACAATTCGATTCTTTTATGGAGCTTTCTACATCATAACTTGAATCAAATACGACAAACAATGAGGGTTATACAGTCTGGATTTACCTCTCGGAACAGCAAGTCTTCAACCTCAAGCATGTGGATGACATGCCCCATCTTAGGCCTTTTCTGTGCATCAGGATCAACACATCGAAGAGCCACAAGAAGTGTCCGTTTGAGCGTCTTTGCTGAAGGCTTTCCTGGCATTTTGGGATCTACTACTTGCTCACATTTCCTATCCCCGACCATCGTTTTTAACCATACAACCAAATTTACCTAGAGATGAAAACACAAAGTGCGCGGTTACAGCTCAGATGAAATTGTCGAAGAAAAGGAATGGAAACGCGATAGTTTCGGTACAGCAAACCTCTGCGGGAGGCTTCGTATAGTCTACCGGGGCTCTCCCAGATATTATCTCCATTATAAGTACTCCGAAGCTGTACACATCGCTTCTCTCGTTCAACATCCCAGAGCTAGCATACTCAGGAGCCACATAGCTACAATGGAAAAAAAATAAAGAAATTTAGAGGTCATTTTTCTTGATAATTACACAATTTTCTGCCCACCATCAAATTGGGATTTTGGCGAGGGGAACTAACCCGAATGTTCCCATGACACGAGTGGTTACATAGGTCTTCTCAGAGCCTATGAGCTTCGCTAGTCCGAAATCAGATACCTTCGCATTCCATTGTTTATCGAGTAGTATGTTGCTCGATTTCACATCTCTGTGAACAACCTTTGGCTCTAAGCCCTCATGGAGATACGCTAGTCTGTAAACAATGAAAGACTTGTTACAAAACCTCTCCTGCATTCCTTGATCAATGAGGAGAAAAAATAACCCAGATTTATTATCGCACATATAGTTCATGATAGGTATCCCATTAGACTAGTACCCTTTCGCAGTTCCGAGTATTATGTTCATCCTGCCATCCCAAGTAAGCCTACTCTCTTCTCCTACATCTCCATGAAGCCACTGATCCAAATTTCCATTGTCAACGTACTCGTATACAAGCATCCTGAGCGCAAACACAAAGATCAAATTGTTTTTTTTTTCCTTTAAAAGAAAAGGTAAAAAAGAGAGATTTTTAAAGTAAGAATTTACCTATGAGCTCCTTCAACACAATAACCAAGCAATCTAACCAAATTCTTGTGCCTCACTCGTCCAATCGCTTCCACCTCCACTTTAAACTCCTTCTCCGCCTGTCCCCTGATCAATCAAAGCCCTAAAAGCTAAAAATCCTAATTTCTTCCTATGAGGGAAAAAAAAAGTTTTTTTTAGAAACAAACCTATTGTTCAACAAATTTTTGATAGCGACAATCGTGCGATCACTCAAAACTCCGCGATAAACAATCCCATATCCCCCTTCGCCGATCACATTCTCGTCGGCGAAATTATCTGTCGCCGTCTCGAGCTCTCGGAGCGTGTACCAATGCCCCCAACCCAAATACGAGACCTCCGGCGGCCGCCCAAACGACTTCCTCGGAGACTCCCTGCTGTCTCCACCGCTCGACGACGGCGGCGGCGGGAGAGGGAGGCGATGCTGCTCGAGGACGACGGCGACGGGCGGAGGCGAGATG